TGTTCCACAATCAGCTCCTGGCCTGGTTTTGGCTGAAGATATTGAACTTTTCCACTGCCTCTTGCCACAGATGTAGTCATTCTGATTCCTGTGTGTTTCATCTGGCGATGTCCATGTGTATAGCCGCTGTTTGTGTTGTTGAAAAAAGGTATTTGCAATGAGTGAGTCATTGGTCTTGCAAAATTCTATCATGACATCTCCAGCATTATTTCTGTCACCAAGGCCAAATTTTCCAACTACTGGTGATTCTTCTGTTTCCAACTTTTGCATTCCAATCACCAGTGATAAGCAACACATCTTGATTGCATGTTCGGTCAATTTCAGACTGCAGAAGTTGATAAAAATCTTCAATTTCCTCATCTTTGTCTTTGGTGGTTGGTGCATAAATTTGAATAATAGTCGTATTAAGGGATATTCCTTGTAGGCGTATGGATATTATTCTATCACTGACAGCACTGTACTTCAGGACAGATCCTGAAACATCCTTTATTTTGATGAATGCCACATCATTCCTCTTCAAACTGTCGTTCCTGGCATAGTAGATCATATGGTTGTCTGATTCAAAATGGCCAAAACCAGTCAATTTCAGCTCATTAATGCCAGGGATATAATCAAGGTCATATTTTGGCTTTCATGGACTTGTTTTAATTTTCTTCAGGTTCAGCTTGAACTTGCATATGAGCAACTGATGGTCTGTTCCATAGTCAGCTCCTGCCCTTAATTTGGCTGTAGATATTGAGGTTCTCTATTGCCTCTTTTCACAGATGTAGTCAATCTGATTCCTGCGTACTCCATTTGGTGAAGTCCATGTGTATAGCTATTGTTTATGTTGTTGAAAAAAGATATTTGCGATGAATAAGTCATTTGTCTTGCAAAATTCTATCACGCAATTTCCAGCATCATTTCTATCACCAAGGCCATGTTTTCCAACTACTGATGAATCTTCTTTGTTTCCAACTTTTGCATTTTAATCACCAGTAATAATCAATACATCTTGATTGCATGTTTGGTCAATTTCAGACTGCAGATATTGGTACAAATCTTCTGTTTCCTCCTCTTTGGCTTTAGTGATTTGTATGTAAATTTGAATAATAATAGTTTATTAACTGTTCCTCCTTGTAGGCATATGATTATTATCCTATCACTGATAGCATTATACTTCAGGATAGATCTTGAAAAAATTTTTGTGACAATAAATGCCACACCATTCCTCTTCAATTTGTCATTCATGGCAAAGTACAGCATATGATTGTCTGACTCAGGATGGCCAAAACCAGTCCATTTCAGCTCACTAATGCCTAGGATATTGATCTTTATGCGTTCCGTTTCATTTTTGACAACTTCCAATTTTCCTACATTCCTAATTCATACATTCCACATTCTGATTATTAATGGATGTTTCCAGCTGTTTCTTCTCCTTTTGAGTCATGCCACATCAGCAAATGGAGTTCCCCAAAGCTTTAGTTCATCCACTTCATTAAGGTTGGCTCTGTTCTGAGCAAGTAGCTCTATTCTGAGCAAGTGGCTCTTTCCCAGTCATATTTTACGTGCCTTCTGACCTGAGGGGCTCATATTCTGGCACTATATTGGACAATGTTTCAGGGCTATTCATAAAGATTTCCAGTAATATATCAGACAGTGTTTCTCTGCTATTCATAAGGTTTTCACTGGCCAATTCTTTGACCTCTTCCTACTTCTGAATCTGTCTTAGTCTGGAAGCTCTGCTGAAACCTGTCCACCCTGAGTGACCCTGCTGGTGTTTGAAATACCAGTGGCATAGCCTCCAGCCTCATAGCGACACACAAGTCACCACAGTATGACAAACTGACAGACAAGTGGTAGTTATCATATTAATACTTAAAATAAGTTATCTTAGTTTTAAGAAAAAAATTTAAAGCTTTTCTTTGAGCAATGAACATGGCAAGTAAAACTATACAACTTTTTGTTTGGAATTTATCAGTATTATTCACTAAACATTTTTATATTTCTACATTGTGTTTGTAGTAATTCTTAATGGCTGCATTATTATATTCAGTTATCTCTGAACATACTACTTTATATTTTTTTGATTTGTTTTTCCTGGGTAAATTCCCAGGAGGTGAGATCATTATGCTCAAGGGTGTGGATGAATGATTTTGGGGGTTTTGCATACCATCAGGTAATTACAGTAGGCAGAGCTAGGAGGAGGCAAGAAGGCAATGGTAAAGAAAGATAGAGCATTTGCTAATAGAGTTCAAATGTAGGTTTTATGTGAAAACTTAAGTCCACCTCACACACCACTGAATTCTGTGTGCTGTCTCTACTGGAGGGGAAGGTGCAGCTAGCTAGAGTTTGGCTCTGTGATTGAGTAAATGGAGTTTTGCTTCAGTTTGGTCTTTGACATTTTCTTTTTGGGGGCCGTCATCAGAAGTTGAAGATGTTGAAAAAGGTGTGTGTCTGAGAGGAAAATGCAGCAATGAAGGGAGTCCATTTTCCTGTTCTAGAGCTTTGTTGGTGGAAGGCCAGAACAATTTCATATTTACAAGACACTGAAGGATTTAAATATTTTGAATACAGCTTTCACAGTGTTAGTATTTCGAGCACTTCTAATTTTTAATTAGAGGGGATGATTTAGATGATTAGTACAGAATTTGTAATATTTTGTATCAGTGATTTCATTAACAAATATTGCTATTAATAACACCCCCACCCCCACCCTCACCCCTGGTATCTTGTGATTGTTTATAATGGATCTCCCCCACCCTTTGTTTTCTTTTAACAGAAAAAATACAGAAAAGGGTTTATCGATGTTTCAAAAATCAGGTGTGTGGAAATAGTGAAGAATGATGATGGTGTCATTCCTTGTCAAAATAAGTATCCATTTCAGGTGAGCTGGCATATTTTCACAACAGTGCAATGGTGGGCTTTTAGTCATGCTTACTATTTGACATTACAGAGTTTTCTGACGTTGCTTTGGCAACTGACTTTTATGTTCTTTTGCCACTTTAATAGTAACTGCTTCTCTTCATACAGTATAAATGAGTCTTGGTTGAAATCTTATCATATTCTTGTCTTGGTCTGTTAGATTCTACCAGGGTTCCTGAATTTTTAATGAGAGATCTAGTTGATTACTATTCTGATATACCAGAGCACAGTTAGGACAAGGAGTGGTGCATGTGAGTGAAAAGTGTGGGAAGAACTTTTCTCTGTGAAGTTGGAAAGCTAGGAAGGGGTAGGCATGAGCTACCTGAACAGACGTGAAATGGCAAGGCTGCTTGTGATAAAAAATACAGCATCAGCATCATCTATTGATTAAACTTTGGACTTTTCTAAGGGCTATCACATTATTTCATTTTTACTTGCACAATCCTATTGCATAAGGAAGGTAAATACTATACTATTTTCATTTATGGTTGGTTAAATGAAAGTCATTTGTAAATTAAAAATCTTCCTAGAACATGCACTTGTATTTCTTTGCTCCAAAGTAGGCTTAGTATGGCATCCTGAGCTATGTGGCCACCTCCAGGCTGAGACCTTGATGCACACATGCATAGTTGAACCCTAATATTTTAAAACTCACAGCAGACAGACCAATACCCCTCTCCAGGATCTAACTACCATTTTTTTGGTTGAGGAAAAATCTTTTAAAACTTTTCTTTGAGCAATAAATATGTCAAGTAAAATAAACTTTTTACCCATGGCTATCATCTTATCAAGGAGATCTGGTGTCATAGTGCCTAAGGCTTTTGACTACTAACCAGAGGTTGGCGGTTCAAACCCACCAGCTGCTCCATAGATGGAAGATGAGACAATCTACTTCTGTAAAGATTTACTGCCTTGGAAACCCAGTGGGGGTCGCTATGAGTCAGGATCAACTTGTTGACAGTGGGTTTGGTTTCTTTGGTGATCTTTCCATGTCTTGAGGGAAACTGGCAAAAATATTTTCCAACATAGTATCTCAGTGGAGATTTTGGTGGTATTTAATTGCTGCTATGAAAATCGTCATTACATTTGAAATAAATATGTACCAGTTTTGGAGTTAACACTACTTGAAATGAAATATCCAATCTTTAAAACCACAGCTAGAGTGCTTTCCACTATGGTGGCCATTAATCATGTGAAAGTTCAAGTTGAACCTGAAGAATATTAAAATAAGTCCACAAGAGCCAAAGTACAACCTTGAGTATATCCCACCTGAATTTAGAGACCATCTCAAGAATAGATTTGGCACATTTGAATGCTAATGACTGAAGACCAGATAAGTTGTGGTATGGTATCAAGCACATCATACATGAAGAAAGCAAAACATCATTTAAAAGACAGGAAAGGAAGAAAAGACCAAAATGATGTCCAAAAAGACTCTGAAACTTGTTATTGAACATAGAGTAGCTGCAGTGAAAAGAAGAAATGATCATGTAAAAGAACTAAATAGAAGGTTTCAAAGGACATCTTGAGAAGACAAAGAAGAATAAGATGAAATGTGCAAAGACATGGAGTTAGAAAACCAAAGGGAAGAATACCTTCAGCTTTACCCAAGCTGAAAGAACTGAAGAAAAAGATTCAAAGCTCAAGTTGCAATGTTAAATGATTCTATAGGCAAAATATTGAACAACACAGGAAGCAATCAAAAGAAGATGGAAGGAATGCATAGAGTCACTGTACCAAAAAGAATTAGTCAATGGTCAAGAGGTAGCAACATGATCAAAAATTGATGATAGTGAAGGAAGAACTCCAAGCTGAACTAAAGGCACTGGCAAAAATCAAAGCTCCAGGAATTGACAGAATACCAACTGAGATGTTTCAACAAATGGAATAATGCTGGAAGTGCTCACTCATTTATGCCAAGAAATTTGGAAGAGAGCAACCTGGCCAACCAACTGGAAAAGATCCATATTGTTGCCCATTTCAGAGAAAGGAGATACAACAGAATGCAGCAATTATTGAACAGTATTATTAATATCACACACAAGTAAAATTTTACTCAAAATAAGTTAAAAATTGTTGCAGCAGTACATAGACAGGGGACTGCCAGAAATTCAAGCCAGATTCAGAGAAGGACGTTGAACAAAGGATATCATTGCTGATGTCAGATGAATCTTGGCTGAAAGCAATGAATACCAGAAAAATGTTTACTGGTGTTTTATTGACTATGCAAAGGCATTCAACTGTGTAGATCATAACAAATTATGGATAACATTGAAAAGAATAGGAATTCAGAACACTTACTTGTGCTCATGTGGAACCTGTACATAGACCAAGAAACAGTAATTTGAACAGAACAAGGGGATACTGTGTAGCTGAAAATCAGGAAAGGTGTGGGTCATGGTTGTATCCTTTCATTATACTTATTCAATCTATATGCGGAGCAAATACTCTGAGAAGCTGAGTTGTATGAAGAAGAATGTGGCATCAGGATTGGAGAAAGACTTCTAACACCCTGAAATATATAGATGACACAACTTGTTTGCTGAAAGTAAAGAAGACTTGAAACATTTACCAATGAAGATCAAAGATTACAGACTTATAAAATAGTCCACAAAGACAATGTTCTACATCCAACTTTGGTGAGTAGCCACTGGGATGTTAAAAGCTTGTAAGACTCCATCTAAGGTACAATTGTTGGTCTGTCCTCATCAGCACAAGGAAGAGTGAAGAAAAAGAAAGATTCAAGGAAGCAGTCCAGTGGACTAATGGATCATGATAACCACACCTCCACTATCCTGAGACCAGAGGAACTAGATGGTGCCTGGCTACTACTACCCACTGCTCTGACCAGGATCACAATAGAAGCACTGGACAGAGAGGGAGAAAAAAATTAGAACAGAAAAATCATTGAAAAAAAAAAGACTAGTCTGATGGAAAACTGTGGCCCTTAGACACCCTTCAGTGTGGCCCTTAGACACCCTTCAGGCCTGGAACAGAACCCCCATTCCCCACCCCCGAGATCAACTTGCCGGCAAACAATATAGGGGCCTATAAAGTGAATAATAACATCAGGGAGGATTGTAATTCTTAGTGCAATCAATCATATGAGATGAAAAGGACAGAATTTCCCCAAAAACCAATCTCAAAAGGCAAAAAGGGACAGGAAAGAAGGACACATGGAAACAGGGAACCCAGGGAAGAAGTGAGAAGAGAGCTGTTCCATTGAGGGGATTGCAACTGATGTCACAAAACAAAATGTGCATCAATTTTTTAATATAAAATTAACTTTATCTGTAAACTTTTGCCCAAACTACAATAAAAAAAGGGGAAAAAAAAGACTACAGCCTTCAGTATGGATTACTCCTCAACATAAAAGAAAAATGGTCACCAGTGGACCAATAAGCAACATCATGAAACATGGAGAAAAGATTGAAGTTGTCCAGGATTTCATTTTACTTGGATCCACAGTCAACACCCATGGAGGCAGCAGTCAAGAAATCAAATGACATATTGCTATGGGCAGATTTGCTGCAAAAACCTCTTTAAAGTGTTATAAAGCAGATGTCACTCTGAGGACTGCAGTGCACCTGACCCAAGTCATGGTATTTTCTCTCACCTCATATGCATGAGAAAGCTGGACAATAATAAGGAAAAGCAAAGGAGAATTGATGCATTTGAATTTTGGTGTTGGCAAAGAATATAGAATATACCATGGGCTGCTAGAAGAATGAACAAATCTGTCTTGGAAAAAGTACAAACTGAATGTTCCTTGGAAGGAAGGATAGAAAGACTTCATTTCATGTATTGTGGACATGTTATCATGAGGGACCATTCCTGGAGAAGGACATCATGCTTGGTAAAGCAGAAGGTTAGCGATAAAGAGGAAGATATTCAATGAGATGGATTGACACAGTGGCTACAAAAATATGTTCAAACAGCAACAAATGTAAGGATGGTGCAGGACTAGGCAGTGTTTGGTTCTGTTGTACAAAGGGTCAGTAGAAGTCAGAACCAAATTGATGATGCCACCTAACAACAACAATGGTGGGAACAGCACAATAGAAGAAAGGATTACATTTAATTTTTCTTTCCTCTTTCCTCATCTTTTGTCTGTCATTTCTCTGATTAAAGAGTAGTGCAGTAAAGTGCTTAAAGAAGCAACTCTGAGTCCAATCTACCTAGTTTGCCACTGGCCTGCTCTGTGACCTTGTATAAGTCACTTAACTGCTCTACACATCTCAAAAATGGGAATAATAGCAATAATAGTACTCATACCAGGGAGTTGTAGTTGTTGTAACACTTATCTGAGGTGATATATAATTAACTTAAATGTGTAGTAAGAAGGAACGGGACATGTACTGGTTCTATTATTATTATTGTTATTTTTACTACTGCAGCTGCTGCTGCTATTAACACTATACCTAAGACCCAGATCTACAAATAAGCCCAATTTAAAACTCCTTTTCATTTGCAATGTTAAGTACTTTTGTAACTTGTTGTGTATCGTGCATAATTCCATTTGAAGTTTAGCAGAGAACCAGTCCTATATACTTCTGACAACAGTTAGACATTTTGGCAGGTGGTTGTAGGAGGCTGTGGAGCTCATGATTCTGATCCAGAATTAGGAATTTTTGATGTCCAAGTCACCATAAGTTTGTTGTGTGAGAACCTGAGCTGGCTTGCATGTTGCCATGATGCTGCAAGCTATGCCACTGGTATTTCAAATACCAACAGGATGACCCATGGTGGACAGGTTTCAGTGGTGTTTGCAGACTAAGACAGACTAGGAGGAAAGGCCTGGTGACCTACTTCTGAAACTTAGCCAATGAAAGCCTTAGGAATCACAACAGAATATTGTCCAACACAGAGCTGGAAGATGACCCCACCCCCAGGTTGGAAGCAACTGTACAATAATAACCACAATGGACTCAAAAAATATCAACTATCCTGAAGCTGGTGTAGAACTGAGGCTATTATTGTTGTACGTAAAGTAACCACAAGTGGGAGCCAAGTTGATGGCAACTAACAACAAAAAGTTGTCTAAGTAAAGAGATCCGGCTTTGGGTTAATTTAAGAATGATGATAAAAGTAATACAACAGAAAGCATTCTATCTTTGAACCATTTTTAATTGTCAAGATGAATAAATATAAAAAGGGTCAAATACAGTCTTAAAAA